CACGTCCTCTAGGGTGTGGAAGGAGGTGACTACCGGACTAACTCCTCCTTCACGTTGTTATCAAGACTATGAACGACAACTCAAGAAGATCCTCAAGCAGCTCCGCAAGACGTTTGACACTGACGAGCATCTTCACAAGACTGAACGTCAGTTCAACAACTGCGTTCAGGGCACTGACTCTGTCTACGTCTTCATCGAACGTCTAGAAGACCTTAGTTCTGAACTCTACCATCTCGGTTCCCCGGTCTTGGAGTATAAGATGAAGTGGAAGCTCTACAATGGTCTCAAAGGCTCTGAATTACGACTTCGTGTCAACGATTACCTCGACGACAGGGAAGTCGACTATATGGAGTTCAAAGAAGTCGTATTACGTCAGCATAGACGTATGGCCAACATCAACGAGACTACTGAGAGCTCCCGGTCTTTCGACAAGAAGGCCAGAGACGACTCTAGAGGTAGCTATGGTAGACGAAGTGAAGACAGTGGTTATCGTAATCGCCGACCTTGGCAACGACAAACCTCTTACTCTAGACGTGAGTCTGTCAACTCGGTCGAGGCTGGTTACTCCACAGATGACAACGAGACCCGTGAGCATCACGTCAATATGGGACGTGATCTTTCTGGTATGAAATGTTATCGATGTCTCAAACGTGGACATTCTGCTAAAGATTGTCAACAACCAGAACCAGCCGAGCTCTCAGCACGTTGTCGAATCTGTGGCAACCCACAACATCAAGCCGACACGTGCAGAATCAAGAGCGACAAATTAATCTGCCATCGCTGCAATAATCCTGGTCATTTGGCTTACGTATGTACGTCTAAGACGCCTACATCTTCACCGTCGAGCAATAGGCGACAACCAACTCCGAGATCTACGGCTAGGGTCCAAATGGTTATTAATGGACGTAAACTACATGGTCAACCCCAACGTCTGGTTTGTACGGCTTCTCCATCGTCTGGTCAGATGCGTCCAGGGCTACTAGTCCTTCTCTCATGGTGATTGGTAACATCTGTGTTGAAGACAACGTCATACCAGC